AATTTAACTTCAAGCAGTAAAATAACTAAAACTAAAGCTGAAATAAAAGGTACACATACTGACATTTAAAAAATATAAATTCAAAAACAACAAAATTACTAAAACTTTAAAATGAAAATGGAAATTCCAAAAATAAAAGCTCATTCAAAATATATTTAAAAAAACTATAATATAGTATCTCACTGATCCTAAAATAACACTGCTGGCTAGTCTTGGTCATGATTGACTAATGTTTTATTTCAAATGTAAAATTTTAATAAAAATAAAATTAAATGGATAATTTTGACCCATACAATGTATTGTTGGCTATTGATACAAATATACCCCAGCGACTTAAGACTGCTTTTGTGCTGCAGGGTCACATATTTTCTCATTTTTTTAAAATTTAACTTCAAGCAGTAAAATAACTAAAACTAAAGCTGAAATAAAACGTATATACACATATTGACATTTAAAAAATAAAAACTTTGTGGTTGCTTTTTTTGTGGTATTACTAAAACTTTAAAATGAAAATGGAAATTCCAAAAATAAAAGCTCATTCAAAATATATTTTAAAAACTATAATATAGTATCTCACTGATCCTAAAATAACACTGCTGGCTAGTCTTGGTCATGATTGACTAATGTTTTATTTCAAATGTAAAATTTTAATAAAAATAAAATTGAACTGAGACTAAATTAAAAATTAAATAGACATTTAAAAAAATGACAAAAACACAAAAGAAAATGACTTAAAGCTGTGTGGGTTGACTCGTGTTGGGTTAGAGATGTCTGGAGTTTTCTGTCCAGTGCGGCTGGAACGTTGAGATACTGCTATATATAGAGTTTTATTTTTGTGTTTTCGGTTCTCATTTTAATTTGAATAAAAGATATTAGCAGTTTTGCTGTCATTGTTGTGTTTTTAGATCTTTGTTAATAAAAATAAAACTGAACTGAGACTAAAATAAATATTAAATAGACATTTAAAAAAGAAAATGACTTAAAGCTGTGTGGGTTGACTCGTGTTGGGTTAGAGATGTCTGGAGTTTTCTGTCCAGTGCGGCTGGAACGCTGAGATACTGCTATATATAGAGTTTTATTTTTGTGTTTTCAGTTCTCATTTTAATTTTAATAAAAAATATTAGCAGTTTTGTTGTCATTGTTGTGTTTTTAGATCTTTTTTCTAAATATCTTTTTTTTTTAAAGAAGTTTTCTTTATAATTTGTTACAATTTGATCAGTTTTGTTGATTTTTATTTTATATTATTATATTGTTTATTCTATTTTTTAGATTTTATTTTTTAGTTTTATAATTTTAGTTACAATTTGATCAGTTTTGTTGATTTTTATTTTATATTATTATATTGTTTATTCTATTTTTTAGATTTGATTATTATTTTTTTTCATTATAATTTTAGTTAAAATTTAGCAGTTTTGTCATTTTTTTATTTTGTATTATATTATTTATTACAATTTTTAGATTTTATTTTAATATTTTTGGTTTTCATTATAATTTTAATTAACGCTTTAGTAATTTAGTTTCGTGTTTTTGTCCTTTTTATTTAATTTTTTTTATTTTTTTGTCTATATAGTCTGTCTATACTGTATAGTTTTTCAGTTTTATAAAATTTTATTTCTGTGTTTTTGAATTTCAACAGGTTTTGATTTAATGACTCTAAAAACGTTTTAACCAAAAATGTTATTTTTTTAATCATTATTTTATTATAGAATTCTCTAAATTGGTTTGAAGCACTTTGACAACTTTTAGTTTTAGTTCAAAATTTAGCAGTTTTGTCATTTTTTATTTTGTATTTATAATATTTATTACAATTTTTATATTTTATTTTTATATTTTTGGTTTTCATTATAATTTTAATTAACGTTTTAGTAATTTAGTTTTGTTTTTGTCCTTTTTATTAAATTTTTTAAATTTTTTTTGTCTATATAGTCTGTCTATACTGTATAGTTTTTCAGTTTTATAAAATTTTATTTCTGTGTTTTTGAATTTCAACAGTTACAATTTGATCAGTTTTGTTGATTTTTATTTTATATTATTATATTGTTTATTCTATTTTTTAGATTTGATTATTATTTTTTTTCATTATAATTTTAGTTAAAATTTAGCAGTTTTGTCATTTTTTTATTTTGTATTATATTATTTATTACAATTTTTAGATTTTATTTTAATATTTTTGGTTTTCATTATAATTTTAATTAACGCTTTAGTAATTTAGTTTCGTGTTTTTGTCCTTTTTATTTAATTTTTTTTATTTTTTTGTCTATATAGTCTGTCTATACTGTATAGTTTTTCAGTTTTATAAAATTTTATTTCTGTGTTTTTGAATTTCAACAGGTTTTGATTTAATGACTCTAAAAACGTTTTAACCAAAAATTTTCTTTTTTTAATCATTATTTTATTATAGAATTCTCAAAATTGGTTTGAAGCACTTTGACAACCTGAATTAACCTTGGCTTGTCATAAAAAGGTAAAATTCTTTGTTTTTAATAAAAAAAAAAATATCAATATTACTTTAAAACAAAACATTTTTGTGAAGAATTTCAGCTTTTTAATGAGACTCTAGTTTAATGATGTATGAGGGGTTGCACCTGCAAAATATTTTTGACTTTATGACCCTCAAAAATATCAAGATTAATTTTAATTAAGAAACTGAAAGCTTGTTTGTTCTAGAAGAGCATTCAAGCTATTGTCTGTATGATTTGCATAATTAATGCTTTTTTTGAATGAATGAATAGACTTCACGCTGGTCTTTGGTCCAGTGTTTTATCATCAGTGCCTCATTAAAAATACAACATTGTCGTGCTGCTGTAATCCGTTTGTGAGGAAGCATCATGCATCGGCTGAAATGATAAAAAATGCAGCACATGTCGGGACTTAAAAGACATGAGAGCCCTGCTTAAATATTGAAAACATAAATTTTGTTCTGGTGTTGCTGGTGTTTTTCTTTTGGAGAGAATAAAGAGTCTGGAGACGAGCGGATCGATCGCGGCACGAGAGAACAGACTTTCATGTGAACTCAAATGTCGGAGGGAATGAAGCGTTTGCTCGGGCATCAATTAAAGCAACAGAGCGGGCTTTTTCTCTGTTTGTTTGGGAAGGTGAGCGGAGATGATCAGACATGTGTGAGTGTGTGTGTGTGTGAGAGAGCGTGTGTGTGTGTATGTGTGTGAGTGTGAGCGTGTGAGAGAGTGTGTGTGTGTGTGTGTGTGTGTGTGTGTGTGTGTGTATGTGTGAGTGTGTGTGTCTGTATGAGTGTGTGTGTGAGTGTGTGTCGCTCAGTGTTTAGCCTCGACTTTGGCTGAAGTATTGATGTGCCATCAGGCCCTGTGGAAACAGTTTTCGTGTCAGAGTTAATAAGACGAGCGCCGCAGACGTCTGGACTCTGTCGAGATACACAGAGCCTCCAGCGCACAGCGGCATTCTGGGACTGTTTGCACAGATGAGCTAATCGAATGCCTTTCGGACAGCAAAAGGGAGTTTCGTAAAGCCCAAAGCTTAGTATAAACTAAAATACTGTGAGAAATTATGACTCTCACGAAAACATGTTCACGTCATGTTTCACCCTTACATCAAAAAATGACATTATGATATTATTTCCCTGATAATTTAACACATTTTACCCCAAAAATATCCTTCTTACTTTAATAATACTTTACCTTATGTAAAAAAAAAAAAAAGATTTACATAATTTAAAATATATAATTTAATTTATATTACAATACACATTTTACTAAATTGCTATTAAATTACTTTTTTTTTAAAAACTTTTTTCTTATTTAAATTTTTTTTTTTTTTTAACTTTTTTAAAATGTCTATAGTTTATTACATTTTAGTTTTAAGTTTTAATTTATGTTTTATTATTTAATAATTATTTAATTCTTTAAAGTATTTAATTTATTTTTATTTTAGTACTTCAAGTTAAACTAAACAAAAATGAAAACCGTTGCTTTAGCACATTTAAATTTTTTTTGTATATATATTACATTTTATTTCAATTAACAATTATTTAAATAATTAATGTTTTTATGGATTGTTTTTAGTTAACAGTAATGACCCTGGGATGGGTTTCATTAAAATTATCTATAATTATCTATTTTTAACACATTTTGATTTAATGACTCAAATTTTTTCAAGTCACTTTTTTAAAATATAAATATTATTTTAAAACAAAAAATTTCTTTCAAGAATTTCAGCTTTTTAGCGAGACTCACATTTGACCCTATAACCAAAAAATGAAAGACTCGAGACGACTTTTTGCACATTGTCATTATTTTAATGATGATTAAACACATTTTAATTTATATTAATATTAAAATGCACTTCTTAATACTTTTATGAATCTGGCAATTTACTTATAAAATATATAATTTAGATAATTTTAAATATATAATTTATATAACATTATAAATTGTATTAAGTTACAGTTAAATTACTAATTTACTATTCAATTTTTTTAATAAATCAAATGAATTATTGATGATAATTTGATTCTTGATGATTCTTTCATGATTCTTTCTCTCAGTTCACAGTATTCTCAGTGCCAATTCATCATTGTCATTACTGCAATTTTACAACATTACATGAGAAATACTGTAATACAGTAACGTTCTAAATTTAATTCAAGTACATTCATGACATTATTATTTTTTTTAATTGTACAATTTCAACAATATTACAATAATTGGAATTTGGGTCTAAAATATGTGTTCAATTTTTAATGAAAATAGTCACAATGCAAAAAAAAAAAAATCCTATAACAGGCTTATTTTATTTTAATATTTTTTTATTTTATTTTATTTTATTTGTTTTGTTTTGTTTTGTTTTGAAGTGTGACGTGGACAGGTTTCCTTAAATTGATGCTTGGTGTAATCGAGTACATTGGACCGTTTGCGACTGCAGAGAGCTCGAGTGGAGACACAGGTGAGATTACGCGGGGTTTTGGTCAGAAGAAACGCCTGAGAACCAGTAAACGTGTTTTTCATTCCTCTGGGCGCCAGCTGTTTGAATAAAAAGAGATGCATGTGTTTATGCGTGTTAGTTTTAGTGAAGCTGTGCATGTGATCAGTGTGTGTTCGTTCCCATGACTGTGGTGTTGCTGCTGACGCTGTGCAGATCTAATCTGAACTCAGAGCCCTCGTCATCCTGACAGCGACGCGCTCCCAGATCAAGGGAATCCCAGCACCAAACCAACCCAAACCACAAGCTGTTTGGTCACAAAATGTAGTTGATCATGTAAAATCTGGCGTCTCCTTTTCACATCAGCGAGCAGAAGATGTTGCATGCTGTCAAAATAAAAGCGCAGACGTGAGAGACGCAGTCATTACACTCGAACCCCGACTGCGACGCCCGAAATAAATTCACACAATTCAATCGCGCTTATTCTGAGCCAGATCCTCCGCTCCTGGCCGTGTGCATCGCGAAGATGAGTGGAAAAGCAGATTCATGCTCAGAAATGTCATGCAAACATCAGAACGCTGAGAGAGAAATGTTGTGATGGATGTTAATATTGGCGGCTGGGACGGCTGTGCTTGAGCCGCTCTCCTGCGCGGTAACGTAAACAGCGCTTGTGTTTGTAGCACCAGATGAAAACGAGCGAGAGCGGTTTCGACTCGAGGAGAACAAGCGCTGGCTAACGGTGATGATGTTTTCCAGCAGTGTGCAGTGACTGATTGATTGGCGTTGATTATACAGGAGTTCCATTGATTGACAGAATTAATTTTTCTTCACACCGACTGAATGAATGAATGAATGAATGAATGAATGAGAATCTCAGTGTGAGTGGAGCTTCATCTATCTATCTATCTATCTATCTATCTATCCATCTATCTGTCATTCTGTCCTTTTATCATCCATCCATCCATCCATCCAACATCCCTCATTCTGTCCGTTCATCATCCATCCATAATTCTGTCCTTTCATCATCCATCCATCCATCCATCCATCCATCATTCTGTCTTTTCATCATCCATCCATCCATCCATCATTCTGCCTTTTCATCATCCATCCATCCATCATTCTGTTTTTCCATCCATCCATCCATCCATCCATCTATCCATCCATCATTCTGTCTTTCCATCCTCCATCCATCCATCCATCCATCCATCATTCTGTTTTTCCATCCATCCATCCATCCATCCATCTATCCATCCATCATTCTGTCTTTCCATCCTCCATCCATCCATCCATCCATCCATCATTCTGTTTTTCCATCCATCCATCCATCCATCCATCTATCCATCCATCATTCTGTCTTTCCATCCTCCATCCATCCATCCATCCATCCATCATTCTGTTTTTCCATCCATCCATCCATCCATCTATCCATCCATCATTCTGTCTTTCCATCCTCCATCCATCCATCCATCCATCCATCATTCTGTTTTTCCATCCATCCATCCATCCATCTATCCATCCATCATTCTGTCTTTCCATCCATCCATCCATCCATCCATCATTCTGTCTTTTCATCAATCCATCCATCCATCATTCTGTCTTTCCATCCATCCATCCATCCATCATTCTGTTTTTCCATCCATCCATCAATCATTCTGTCTTTCCATCCATCCATCCATCCATCCATCCATCATTGTCTTTCCATCCATCCATCCATCATTCTGTCTTTCCATCCATCCATCCATCCATCATTCTGTCTTTCCATCCATCCATCCATCCATCCTTTTTCTCAAATCTTTCATGACTGTCAAGTCAACATTCCTAGATTGTCTTGTCTAACTTTTATTATTTTTATTTTATTTTATTTTTTTTAGCTTTTTTTCATTTCAGTTAATTCAAACTCTGCTTTGTTACATTCAAATTCAAATCGTAATTCTGCATCCTGTTTGCCACCTAGGTTCAAATTCAGGAATTTAATTTAAAGTGTTCTCAATTCAGTTATCAATTATGCACAATCCTACCATATATGCATCATTTACCAATAACACAATTATTATTATTCACAATATTTACTAATATTGTGAATATATAAATAATGCATTAATCCACTAAAATAATGCATTAACTCAATAAGTGATGATTTTCCACGTTTGCACCATATTGGCGCTTGGTATTTCACATGGCCTGCTGATATATGTTGGTGTGTGACTGGTTTTGAGGTTGTAAACATCCCGGATGTGTCCTCTCCTCTCTGCAGAAGACTGTCTCCTGGAGAAACCCTACACAGACTGCGGCTACAGTCAAGGCAAAGACGACGACTTCGACTGGGAGCAGATCAACACCAAGCAGAAACCCTCCTCAGAGCCCTGGCTGCCGTCAGGTCAGTGAGTCCTGGTGCTTTAGAGCTGGATGTCATGATTAGTGGTCGACCGATATATCGCCAAAGCAGATATATCGGCCGATATTTGGCATTTTTCAAATATCGGCATCGGCCGATAAGTTTTTCTGTTTGGCCGATGCGTTCGAGGCCTTTATTTTGACGGCGCGCCGGACTTTTATTTTGACGGCGTTGAGAGCGGCTGCGCTTGAGCACTCAGTGCTCACATTCTTCTACCTCTTGTTCGCCGTCGTCATTAACAGTTCTGTCTAATACGGATAGAAGTCTGTCTAATAATCCGATAGAACTGTTAAACAAAGGAATTAAAATGTATACAAAAAGTATTATAACGATTGCTTTTATATTATTAGTAATAGAAAGGCAAACATTATAATACTTTCTCGTTTGCCGTCTGCATTCAGCAAATACGCATTTATATCATTTAAACAAATCTTTGAATGGCTAATGAACATTTAATTTCACAAACCTTGCAAACTTAGTCGAATCCAGTTGTGAGATCTTGTGAAGTGTGCATGTGATCTGCATGATCGCGTGTTCTCTGCGTGACTTTCACGTTTTTTAAAATGTTTATTTTACAAATTTATTTTTTAATCCATTTTCAAATGATTTCAAATTTCTTAAATATTAATTCAAATGAATACAATTATATCGGCTTTATATCGGCCATCGGCCACCCGGCTTTCCAAGATATCGGCATCGGCTGTCAAGAAACCAATATCGGTCGACCACTAGTCATGATGAATGACCTGACTCATGCTGATGTGTTTGAATGGAGTTTGAGGCTTCAGTTTCTGCAGCGTTGTGTCTCTTTGATTCATTATTTCAGCATGTGTTCAGAGTCGATTTGATAAACTCTGTCGGACAGACTCCTGCTACGCCACTTTAACAGGTTTTAATGGGAAGGTGAAACTCTGATCTGTTCTGCAGAGAATCCAGTGAGAGAGCCAGACTTGAGTACTTGAGTACAGACTTGGGGAAATACAGATTTGTGAACAGGAGGCATTTATTTTAGTGTCATTCATTTATTCTTGGGCAGTTTTTGTTAATATTTTGAATTAGACTTGATTTATATATTTTCTGTTTTCACTTGAATTTTAGTAATTTTGTTGTTTTTTGTCTTTTTTAAAAGTCTGTTTTTTTAAGTGTCTTATTTATTTATTTTTTAGTTGTATTAATTTTAGTACCTCAAATTAAATAGTATTTTATTTTACTTAACATTTATTTTAAGTAATTAAAATCTTTTTATTTATTTATTTATTTATTATTTGTATTAATTTTAGTACTTCAAATTAAATAGTATTAAATAGTATTTTATTTCACTTAACATTTATTTTAAGTAATTAAAATCTTTTTATTTATTTATTTATTTTTTATTTGTATTAATTTTAGTACTTCAAATTAAATAGTATTAAATAGTATTTTATTTTACTTAACATTTATTTTAAGTAATTAAAATCTTTTTATTTATTTATTTATTTATTATTTGTATTAATTTTAGTACTTCAAATTAAACAGTATTGTCTTAGTACACGATATAACTACAGAATTGTCAAGTTTTAAATAGGAAAAATATCGAAACTTTTTGGTCATTTTTGAGCGAGATGCTAACGGTCTAATCAGATTCAATGATCTATGCTAAGCTAAGCCAAAAGTGCTACCGCCAGACCCGGAGATCGGCTGAATGGATTCGAAAACGGTAAAACTCAACTGTTTAACTCTAGGGGAGTTGGAAAATGAGGCTATTTTCAAAAATAGTGGAGTGTTCCTTTAAGAGTGAAAAACTGCTTTTTCAGTCCTAAAACGTCTTAATGTGATTTCTCCTGATCGTTCTGCTAATGTCTTCAGAGCTCCTCTGTGAGAAGAACGGCCTCGTTCACGTCAATAACCACACGCCACAAATAAATGTGGAGAACACGAGCACAAGCAAACCTCTGCCATATTTTCCACTTCACTGTGCTTCATTCGTGCTCGTGTTTCTGCTGTCTGATGCATTAAAACGGCCTGTTTAATGATCAGACTCACGTGTGTGACTTCATATGTCAAAGCCAAGCATGCTATTATGGTTAAACAGCACATGGAATTACTGCAAACATTTTTCTTGTACTGCAAACCTGTTGCATTCACTATTCAGAGACATACAAACTCGGTTCCAAACTCTTGCTTCATACAGTTTTCTGTGAAAATTAGACATTCAAAGGTTTAGCTAAAATGCATTGCAATGCTGCATTGAAATGAATTAGATTTTTTTTGTCAATGTTCTTTAAATAAAAAATGTAATAAAAAAAAAAAATATTTAAGCATATTATTATTATTATTATGCTTAAATAGCATTATAAAATAAATAATGTATTTTTATATAATTCATTATAATATTATACAGTTATTAAATTAATATTAAAATAATTTGTAAGTATTATAAGTAGGCAGGTCATTAAGTTTTGGAACAGAAGTTGAAAGTCAGTAGAATTGTTTTATTTTTGTGTAATATTTTAATATGCACATTACTACTACTACTACTATTAATTATTATTAATACATAGTATTATTATCATTATTATTATTAAATTAATTTTTATTAATTTTAATTTAGTTATTTGATCATTTATTTAATTCTATAATAATAATAATAATAATTCTTATTATTTAATTAAATGTTTATTAAAATCGAATCATTTATTTAATTATTATAAA